GCACCTTACTAAGGTTTGAGGAGAGAAAATCTTTGAATGTTAAAACAAGGATGGTGAGGATACGACATCAAACACAAAGATTACTTGCATTTTAAACATAAAACAAGAACTTCAAAGAAGTTTCGGGCTGGTGGCAGACTCAAACAACTTGATTGGCCACCTTGGGGCCACTCCCTACTCACTGGTGCCTTGGGGACAAGTGGGAGGACCGGTGTTGCGGAGTGTCCCGGTTGGGGCACGGTTCCAGGATGTCAGCTGAGGTCAGATGGAAGGCAGATGCTGGGGGTCTTACAGGAAAGCATTTGTCTGTCACCATTTCCCTGGCCACTGTCCAGGTGTGGGCAGGCGGGTCTTAGTGAAGAGACTGTTCTGGTCTAGGCTGAAGCTCTGACACAGATCCTGACCCTACAGGTATTATCGGGGGACCCACGGGGTCATCGTGGTTTATGATGTCACCAGTGCTGAGTCCTTTGTCAACGTCAAGCGGTGGCTTCATGAAATCAACCAAAACTGTGATGACGTGTGCCGGATATTGGGTGAGGCTGGACCCCCTGGGGTGGGGACGGAGGCATGGAGGGCGGCAGGGAGCCCTGCAGGGCTGGGCTGACTTTGCTTTGCCTTGAAGTGGGGAATAAGAACGACGACCCTGAGCGGAAGGTGGTGGAAACAGAAGATGCCTACAAATTCGCGGGGCAGATGGGAATCCAGTTGTTTGAGACCAGCGCTAAGGAGAACGTCAATGTGGAAGAGGTAAGGCCTGGGCCGGGGCGGGAACGGGGGAGGGAGTGGGGCCCAACTCTGTCCCGCCACAGCCCTCCTCTCTCTGCTTCTAGCCTGCCGAGTCCCAGGTGGCTGACAGAAAACATCATAGTAACTGCCGTTTGTTGGTACCCTACTGTGTGCCTGCTGCATGCGTTATGCTAGGCCCTTTACAGGTGGTGTTAGCTCATATCTCGACAGGCCTCAGACGTAAGTTACTTCCACATTTTATATAGGAAGCTGAGGTTCCAAATTGAGGAATATCCCCCAACTTGTAAGAGGCCAAGACCAGTCCCACACCCCAGCCATGCATGGTTCCCACTCAGTCGTCTGCCTCGCTGCCCTCCCCGGCCCCACCACTGGTACCTCTTCCTGTTCTCAAGGCTTTCCTTAGGGCCTTGGCCTCCCGGCAGACACCCAATTGCTTTCCTGTGGCCTCCAGAGTTCAGGTTGGCACCTGCTGCGAGCCCCCCCAGAGGCTCCCAGGGATGCACATCCCCCACAGAGCAGCTGAGCCTCCGGCCAGAGGCAGCTTCGCTTCTGCTAGGCCTGCTGGAGAGTGGTTGGGAGTCTGTGTTAGAAAAGTGGGACCTTTAGCCACAAGCGCAGGCCAGGCATGCTCGTAGCTTCGGGTGAGTCCCGCCCCACAGTGTGTGTCTGGAGACCCAGGGATGCCAGGATTCCCACTGCTTCCCAGACACTGACCGCACAATGGCAGGGAGCCTAGGCGCGTCAAAGTCGGGTTTGGGATCATAGTATGGGGTCCTTTCTGCATGACCTTGGGCGGTGATGTAACCTGTCCAGGTTCCACCTGTCCCTCCTGTAGGTCAGGGTGGGGTGAGAGTCATTCTCCCGCACCCCTAGGTTTTGAGGAGTAACAAGCAGATTATGACAAGTGCTTGGTACCTTTCCTGGCAGTGTGGAGGAGAGGACTGCGGGCGGGCAGGTGGGATTCCACTGGGTCCTGGCACCACAAGGACATCTTGGGGTGGTCCGGGGAAGGTTCTAGGCGGGATGTACAGTGACACGGCATGGAGTGGGCAGGCTCTGGGTCCATCTGGCCTGTCACCAGAACAGGTGTCTTGTCCGAAGATTCTAGCTGGAGAGGTTCTTTCTCTTTTTTTAAAAGAAAGACTGGAAAATCCCCGAGATTGACTTCCCCAAGACACAGCTCATGGGGCTTTGATGTTCCTTTTTGACCTTTAGCAAACCCTAGGAAGCATTTGAGGACGTACATATACAACAACCTCACGAGTAGAAATAGAAAGCTGGGCCCAGGAGGTGGCCGTGCTGGCCAGCAGAGGTGGCACAGTGACAGGGCCTCCTCGCTGGCTGTGAGGCCCACCCTGTCTCTTTCATCCTCACAGATGTTCAACTGCATCACAGAACTGGTCCTCCGAGCAAAGAAAGACAACTTAGCGAAACAGCAGCAGCAACAACAGAACGATGTGGTGAAGCTCACGAAGAACAGTAAACGAAAGAAACGCTGCTGCTAATAGCCCACCCAGCCCACTGCAGAGACTGCGCTGCGGCCGCTCCCCGGCCCGAGGCCCGCAGGGCTCCTCGGGGACAGTCTCAGTTTCGTGCCGTTATTTAAAGAATTCTCTCCACGTTTTTGTATTGGGAGGCGCCATTGGCACTTCCTCCCCTCCCCCTCTTGAGTGCCAAGAAGGTGTTGGACGACCTGCCCTTCCCTTCTGGTGCCCCTAGCCCCCCCCCCCCCGCCCCTCCCTCCATCCCCCACCCCACCAGCCAAGGCACCTGGGCCTGGAGAGGACGCTGCCAGCTGAGCGGACTGATTAACCAGAGTTTGTACATAATGTATATTGCTTTAACCAGCCGCATCACCCTCGTCCTGCTCTGGCTTTTGCCTCCTTAATGCCAGCCTGCTGCAATAGACCCTCCCCTCCCCTCCCCATACCATCTACTGCCAGCCACCTCCTGAGGAGACAAGATCGAGATCTAGCCACATCTTTTGCCAACCTGGGCTGGTGGAGTGGGCCTTCCATGTTACTTGTTCTCGCCTACAGGCCACTGGCTTCTGCCTCCGGCACGTAGGGTCTCCCCTCTTTCCGGGGCCTGTGCCGAGTCTCTTCCCAAGCCAGCTCCCTTCCCTCCCCACCCCGCCCCTGTAACCATCCAGGCAGGCAGCTGGGGCAAAGCCCGGTCTCAAGGTAGGCCTGGGGGTTCCCATTAGAGGCCTAGCCTTGTGGTTTGCAGAAAGAGTTGCTCCTGCCTTTTGGTCACCAGGTCTCTTGTCCTGCCTTCTAGATACCTCTGAATTACAAACCCAGGGGAGCCATGGCTTTTAATTTTTACCAACCTGTTTCAGTTCCAACAGAAAGGTAGGGGTGTGTTTGTGCAGGGATGGGGCTTGCAGAGGTGTTGAGGAGCATTATTTTACAGATAAAATGAAGGCAAATCAAATGGGTTAAGTTCCTCACACTTTCTCTTCCTGAGGTTTGGTTGGCACAGCAAAAATTGTGGCCTCCGCGCTTCGGGTCTGGTGGTTTTGGAAGAGCTGAATGGCTTCCTGGCGCTGAAGCTGGCTCCTGGCAGAGCAGCTTTGCCTCCCGGGCTGTTCTTGGTGGGAAAGGAGACCGCATCTCCCACCCCGTCTGTCGGCCTAGGGCTTTCCACCGACTTCCTGGGTCTCCGTTGCGGCACCAGGCACCTTCGAATCTGAGGAGTGGGTGCCAGGGGCTGCTGGACTGTGGGGACATCGCCTCGGAGGTGGACGGCAGGCAGCCTTGGAGCAGTGACAGAACTGTTTTAATACAAAGGCAGCATGAAGATTTCTTAGCGGGTGGGAAGGAATGGCAGCCGGGGCTGGGAGCCAGCCAGCTTTGATCCTGGTCCCCTGGAGGAAAAAGCCAGGGTCATCTGCACTTGATTACGGTCCCTCGTGGGACACTTCATCATTCACCTTTCCCCTAAAAGGATCACGTAACCTGGGAATAATTTATTTCAACACCATGATGTGTTTTGTTGGATTTCCTTTCCTAGGCGATTTTCGAGGCAATGCCCTGACTGGACAATCACATCACACTGCAGATTTTCCATGTTAACACTGTCGATGGGTTTTTAATCAATAAAAACGGGGGGTTTCTTCTGACCTGTCCCTCCACTTCCCCAGACTGCCAAAAGCCTGTGCTTGCATGGCCAGGCCCTCGCTGGAGCCGCCTGCAGAGGTGGGGGAGCCCTGGGCCTGGGGGAGCCGTGCTGTGCAGCGTGGCCACCCCGAATGACCACAGTCCTGTGGGGGAGGGTGGGCAGCACTCACGTGACATCAGTGTGGCAGTGCTTGCAGATTCAAGCAATAAGGGCGAGGGGTCCTGGATGTTTCCAGCCCAGGCAAGAAGGCACCGTGGCTCTGGCAACTGGCTGTCCAGACCCAGGTGGTGGGGTGATTTTGGTGACGACGGTGTGCCTGTCCCACTGAGTGTTGCACGCATGAATGGGGGGTGGGGGTGGGGGATTCACAGGGCTAGACCGACGTCCTGGTGGACCTGATGTGAAATTCCTGTCGAACAAAACTTTTAAATGGTTTGCTAGGATTATTTCTGTATTGAAAGTTTCTAATTATGCTTTTTAAAAAAATACTAAAAATAAAGGTTCAAGCTGCCAAGTTTTCTTCCAGGATCTATTTCCTCTCCTCCAGCTGTGCTCTGGGTGGGCCCGGTTTCTTCCCGCCCTCTGGATCCAGCTCTTGTTTGTTCTGGTCGGAGTCCAGCACAGGTGCCTTTTGAAGCCCAGGGATGCTTTCAGAAGCCAAGTTTGCTTTCTCCACAAAAGGCTGGTCCAGGTTGAGCAGCTCCTCTGGTGTGACGCACAGGTGGGAAGCGCATGTGGGACGATGCCCCGGGAAGTGCCGTGTTCATTCCCCACGTGCCTGGAAGGATGCAGCAGTGATTTCTGGCTTGGTTTCTGGCGAGCTGCAGGGCCCACTCAAGGCTTGGGGAGCAGTGCTGGCGGGGCCCGCCCATAGCCGGGCAGCTGTAGCGCTGGCGGGGCGCCCGGGCCCCGGGCTGGCGTGGAGGCGGTCCCCACGGGGCTGTCACAGGATGCCCCTTTCTGGCTGGATCCACCCACCGGTCACGCCAACATGGGAGGTGAGCTCCCATGTGCGTGAAGGACTCACTAGTGCCTCTACCACCACAGCCAGCTGGCGGCGCTTCTGAAATGTGAGCTGCGTTCCGCCCAGACAAGCCCTCCAGGTACCCAATGATGGAGGCGGGAGGCTCTGTAGAAATTCATTTTATTCTTAGACTATTTTCAAAAGAAGCAGTGGTGCGCTGTTTTTCTAAAAATATGCCTTTATAGATTTATATAGAATATGTATATTATAAAATCCATACATGTATTTACATGATTGCTACATACAAAATTACAGCACTGTGGTATGTACATATCTATAGGTACATTCTTTCCGCTCGTCCCTGCTGTGCTTTTCCCGTGTGCGGGAGGGAGATGATCCTTTGTAAAGCAGCTTGCGGGCTGACTCAGCCCGGGGTGCCTCTGAGTGAGGGCCTCAGCAGAGAAGGTGGGATGGCTGCTGAGGAAGGAGCAGAAGCAGCAGGCTGCAGGATTCATTCTTCTGCAGGCCTGGCGGGCAGTATCTGGAGGCAGACGCCCTGTGGTGCCAGTGCTGCCCTTGAGGTGGAGGTGGCTGACTGCAGACCCCTCTGGGGCCATTGTGGCCTGGACTCGCTCGGCTGAGCCAACACCTTGTATGTGTGAGGGGAGCAGGGGGCCCCCAGAAGAGGAGAAGACCCCCTCCTCGCTCTGGCCCCATGATGGGGAAAGGGCTGGATTGGCTAAAGCCTGCAGAGTGCCCATGAAAACACTGGCTGGCCTGGAGGCCAGGGAGGAAGAACAGTGGCGGCCAGCAGGGCAGGGCCCTTCCTCCTGAGCTCGGGGATGGCATCAGCCAAGCCCCGCTGAGGCCCATCCAGGCCGAGTGTGAGAGGAGAGCCCCCGGCCATCGGGCCCTGCAGGCTGGGCCTCCTGCCGCAGAGGTGCTCTGGGCAGAGGTGCATGCACGTGGGTGAGGAGCCGCTTCCCCCTTTATTCCCTGGGCCAGAGGCTGGGGGGGGGGGGGGGGGGGGGGGAGAGACGGAGGCTTAGCCATGGGCCCGGTGTCCTGTAGGCACCAGGCCCCCGTAGCTCAGGCCAGCTGGGGGCCACGACAGCCTCCTGAGGCATGCAGAGAACAGCCTCCATTCCTTCTGTTCCCCGTATTCTAAAATTGGGGGTGGGGGGTGGGGCGCAGCATTGCCTGGGGTTGGATTTGGGAGCCACTGAGGGGTGGGCGGGGTGGGCTGCGATCCACTGGGTCTGAGTGGCAGAGCCCAAGCAAGGGCCCGCTCTGGAGACAGCCTGAGCCCCGCTCAACGACAGCAGATCCGGGGGAAGCCCAGGCTGGGTGTGGCCTGGCAGTGGGGACAGGGCTTGCCGCCTGTCCCTCTGCTGAGGGCAGCCTTCAGAGGCCGAGTGGGCCCTCCCAGACGACTCGGCCCCGGTGTAGGTGGGCAGTGCGGCCGCCGAGCTGGCCCAGGGGAGCCCTCGTGCAAGCACCCCATTTCAGTCACCTCTAGTCCAAAGTCGCCCGTCCTTGCTGGCCTGACTCCTCCCAGCCTAAGTTTTCCTGAAGAACGAGAAGAGCCGTTTGCCTTCGGTGGTGCTGGGCTCGTCCCCGCGCCCTGCGCCCCGGGCCCCCGAGAGGGCGGCAGCAGGCCGGCTCCGCTCCTTCAGGCGCGTGTCCATCAGCTGCCGGTCAATGACCCTGTGCATGTCATCCTGCAGAGGGCAGAGCGAAGGGGCTGAGCAGGGCTCCGACCTGGTGCCGCGGGGGCAGGGGCGGGGACAGGGAGCAAATGTCAGAAGGACGAAAGATGATGATGAGGAGGAGGAGGAGGAGGAGGAGGAGGAGGATGGGATGAGACCAGATGACTGAACGGCCACAGCCAGGCCGCCTCGACCAAGAAGACAGCAAATGTAGACATGATGCCCGGATGCACAGGAGCCACTGACACCTCAGCCTCCTCAGGGCCTGGGGCATCTCCCTGCTGGCCTTGGCTGCTTGGCGGGCCCCACCGCGGGTCTGGCCCTACTCCAAGCCCAGAGCAGGGCAGGCCCGGGCCCACGCTGCTACTTCCCTGTCTCTACCCAGGCCTTGCCTGTGACTGGCCTCCTCTGCCCTGCCTCCCGCGCCCTTGGGGCTGGGTGTCTCTCTCCGGCACCCCTCCCGAGAGGCCCTAGCATCATGTCGCCCGCCAGCTCTCCAGTCCAAAGGGTCAGCCTCAGGGGGCTTCTCTTGTCCCTTTGCCCCCTTCAGGTTACACCAGCTCGCACCACTGGTGCCTAGATGCCGCTGGCAGCCCCACGCGGCAAGGACACAGGCTCCCAGGTGCCGCCGTCCCCACTGGCGACCCCACGCGGCTGCCCTCCGCTGGCATGGCTCAGCACAGGTGTGGCACAGGCCGAGGGCATCACTATCTTCACTGCCCGCCCTGCTCCAGCTTAGGCCCAGATCTTTGGCCTCTTCACTGGGGCAGCACCCTTCCCCGGTTTGGTAAAGTTGCCTAGAAAATGCCCCCCCCCCCCCCCCCCTCGACCGCCTTACAGCACAGCATCTAGAGCATCTTTTACCCGCCCCGCCCCCGCCCCCCAGGGGCTTTTGGGCAGAGCAGCTCCACCCTCTCTCCATTCTAGTTATTAGATTCCGATTCTGCACAAGATTCCACTTGACCAAGCATTCTGCCACCGACAAAGTATGAAAACTACTGGCTTAGAAACAAACAGCCCTGTCTAGTGAACATCAGCAGGAACGTAACAAGCGTTTGCCTGATCCCTTCACCCCTAAACCCAGTGGGCTCCGGGATGCCTCGGGGCGAGTCAGCGGGCTCGTGTCCTGCCGGAGCACGGGACAGTGAGGGCCCGGGCAGAAGCGGGGCTGGCGCGCCCCCCCCCCCCCCCCTTGTCCATCACCTTCTGCACTCACACCCACGCTGTCACCACGTGGTGTGACACTAACTTCTCTGCGGGTTTCGGTGTGAAACAAAGGGACTTTCCTGACCCCGGCCCCGGGTGGCAGCAAGGGTGGACGTCCTGCTCCCTACCCTTGTCCTTGTCCTGCTCTCCCACTTTCCTCTTTCTTCACACTCAACTTCTTCCAGCGCCTCTCCTCCTCACAGAAATAGGGGGCATGCTCTCTGCCTGAGCTCCCCCTGCTGAATCTTAGGCCCAGTGCCCGGCACTTAGGACATGCTCAGTAAAATCTGTTACATACGTTGGGAATGTTACAGGGTCCTCCAAACAGAAACCCTTTGAAGTGCCAATGCTTTTTCTGGCAATTGCAAATTGCATTTTTTATATTTTGTAATCCCACGAAATGCATCCCTTTAGAACTTCGTACACACACATGCATGAACCGCTTATAATTCCACCCCTTCCAGTACTTGTGTGGGCAAAACAGCCCATTTATGAGGAGGGAGCACCAAGAAACCAGGGCTTAGCCAGTCAAAAAGGGGCCGGCCCGGTGGTCCTGGCCTACGAGCTGCATGTTCACTGGACGCGGTGATGGGAAGAGAGCTGCAAATGACGGCATGGCACACGGCATGAGATGACGCCGGACGCTGGCACACACAACACGGTGGGCCACACACAGGAAGGCGGCAGGGGCGGGACTGCGATGGCAGCAGGGTTGGGGGTGGGTGGGACGGGGGGTCGATCTCACCTCAAAGGCAGGAGGGGTGTACAACTAAAGCTGTTGATACGGGAACTGAGAAAGGCCACTAGATCAGAAACCAAAGGAGCCAGATAGTAAAAAGCCCTGAGGAAGCAAACTGTAGCCGGGAGAGAAGAGAGAAGAACAGGGGCCGTAAGCCAGGGGACGGCCAGCTGCTCGTGAGCGAGAGGCTGAGGGGTTAGGGACCATGTCTCTGGGGAAGGGGGCTGTGCTCCTGCAGCCAGCCCCGCAGGGTCCTTGGGGGAATGGTCACTGCTAACCCGTCCCCCAGCCGGGGGTGGGGGTGGCGGGCTCTTTACTGGCCTCCTGAGGATTTCTTGGGGGAGAAACACGAATGGCTACACCCATATCCTGAAATCGTACCACTCGAACCTCATTAACAAAGAGCAAGGACAGCCCTGGCCCAGAGGGGAGCTGTGCTGGGGCTGGGGCAGAGCAGGCGGACGGGACTCTGAACGTGGTGGTCCTGGAGATGACCCAAAGACCCCTTTCCCCCAGGATAGCGCTCTCTGGCAAAATGAAGCTGGCCTTTGAGAAAAGGAAGGGCAGCAGCTGACGAACTACATCCAGTTGTGAATTTCGGTTCCACCATATAGGGTTTCCTGGGCCCTCTGTGTTAACAGCTACTTCTTTCCAGCTAATTTAAACAAAACTGGGATGACCAGCTGAAGGAAGCCCCTGCCCCACCGCTCTGGAAGCATCCTCAGGCATTCCTCCCTGGAGACTCACCCACATGCACAGGACCCTCTAGTAACAAATTCTCCTCACACGCTGCTTGGGTTTGAAGACTCCCTCCCACCCCCCTTCCCCCAAGCCCTGTTTTCACTCACCCCAGGGTCTCAGGGCTCTTTACCTGCCACGCCTCAAGCTGCTGTGAGAGGTTCAGTTTCTGCTGAATGGCATCCAGCAACTGGCTGTTCAGTGACATCATGTCCATCTTGCACTTGGCAAGTTCCAGCTCCACAGCATTCTTCCTGAAAACAGACAAGCCAGGGTGAACGTGGGCACCTGGGGTCCACAGGACGAGGAGACAGACTCCGACCTTAAACTCGCAACAAATAGGAGCTGTGACAGTAACCAGGATGTTACTTGCAGAAAGCTGGAAAGTTCACAGCACGGGTTCATATCCATTTTCTCAACTGTTTTGATGACCTGTGGGTGAAGGAAGCCCCTGCCTCCCCATCTCATGGATGAAGAGCAGTTTTGAGAGGAGGATACTGAGGAGGACTGGAACCCAGAGGAGATCAAAGGCCTCACACAGTACTATGAAGTTGCTAATCCTTCCCCAAAAAGTCCAGTCCCCATGAGAGATAAGGCCCTTGTCCTCTTGGCCCCTCCTTTTCACTAGCAATGCCCCCGGCCCAAGGGATCTGTCCTAAAGAGGCCACACATGTGCCAAAGTAGCCACATAGTGGTGGTGACTACAGCCTAGCTAATCATAGTTGCCAACAATTGTTGGCAGAACAATTATATGGTAGAACACAGTCATCACAACCAACCACGACAGTGAATATTCAAACAGTGGGGAAATACGACGTATTGCTGAGTTGGAGAAAAGCACAAGACAAGGTCTGACAGGATACTGGCTTTGTAAAAGAAAAACTGCCTGTGTGTATTTAAAGGTCATACAAAAAAAAAAAAAATTCTACTTGGCTATCTCTGGATGATCGTTGATGGGATCCTACATACTTTTGCATTTTGTATTTTCATAGTTTAATATGTTTCACATATTACTCTGTTTGCCTTTTCCAACATTCTTAAATCATAGTTGTTCAACGGAAAACAAAATTAAATTTTTTCAGGGCTGGGGGAATGGGACTAAAAAATATAAGACACTTAACTGAACAGCTTCTGCCAAGGAACACCGGTTGCCGACCTGCCAAACTGGACATTATTTAGCCCCCATTATCAACTGCTACCTTTTGCATTCCCAATGGCAATGCAAAAATGCCTCCATGCACAGGGCCAGCGACCCAGGTGCCCGTCCTAAGGACAGCTACAGGACCTGCCTACAGAGGCCTCCTTGCTGGGGCCTCGGACAGGGGCTGCACCAAGGGAAGTGTGGTTGGGAGGTAGGGTAGGTGGGGGTAAAGCTCTCGGGGCCGCCGCCATGACCAGCACTTCCTCTCTGGCCACAAATCTACCCGTCCAGTCACCTCCCCTGACACCTCATGGCCGCAGAACGGCGCCCAGTCCGCCTTTCCCAGGAAAGCCGGTCCAGATGGCTTGCAACACCCCGGTCCGCCCACCGCACTGCGGCTGAGGGGCCAGGAGCTGATGACGTCCAATGAGGGCCGGCGTCTCAGGTCTCAGACGTCTCAGGGAGCCCTGTCACGCCCGCTGCCATTGGCTGGCGGTAAACAGCGGAAATCCTTGCGTGGCACCGGTTGCCATGGACGCCTGCCCCTCCCCCCCCCCCCCCCCCCCCGCGCCGGAGACAGCTGCAGCCTCAAGAGTGGCAGGGCATCTGCCAGCAGGTGGCGCCACGAGAAGCCTGGACACCCCAGAATGTGCGGACCAAGGGGCACACAGCAGGGACCCTTCCTTCCAGAAAACCCCGGAAACAAGGCCAGTCTTGCTGACCTCTGCATTCCAGCCTCGGACTGCACTCTAGAGAACATTTGCTCACTAGAGAATCTTGGTGTTTATCATTCACAAGACACCCCAGAGCAGGAGAGCTAAGCTGCAGAGGCCGCTCATCAATATGTTCATCAGAATTTTAAAAAGGAATGCCTCAAACGGCTAGAATTCCTTATTTAAATGAAACCACTAGAAACTGACTTTTTTTTTTGTTTTTGTTAGGCTGCTAGCCCCACATTTTTGTTTTTAGTGAGGGCCTTTTACCTGCAAGGAGATAAAATCGTTACTTAACTTTTCTGAAACTCATCTACTGTGTGGGATAAAGAACACCTTAATAAGGTTTTTGTAGCTGGTGAAGAGAGGGAAGTTATTTTTCTTGGGGGTTCTCACTCCTCTGACTACACACTAGAATCATGGGGTGGGGGTTGGGGGACGCTTTTAACAAGCAGCCCCAAACTAGGCGATTCAGATTGAAATGTTCTGGAGAGGGCCCTGGCATCCACGGTGTTCCCCAGGTGATTCTAAAGTGGTCAGGATGCAGAATCAGAGATGATGTAAATGAAAACATCTTGTAAAACTCCTAAGGTCCTATACAAAGTATAGGCCACTCCTCACATTTAAATGATTCCTTAGGTCTGTTGTGTCAATTCTGTATACTAAGAGTTTAATTTCTAACGGATAGAAAAAAAGCTATCCTACTGGAGCGATCTAACTAACACCTTCCCTAAGGGCCAGCCTAATATATAGGGTCCATGAAGGGCAGGGGCCTCACTGCAGAGTTCTCCCTACTCAGCAAGGACAATCTGCAAATCAGCTCCGTTGGTCAGATGCCAGGAGGTTCACTGGGCCTCCTCTGACAAAAGACGAAGACATTCATTTCAAGGTTTTGTGGAGACTTGCTGGCTTCCTCAGTCACCCAGATGTCAGAGCTGGGTTCTACTTACTAAGGGAAGGGGACCGGATAACTCCTGTTCTGTCTTCCCTCCTGTGCCCTGGTACTTTCTCGGGTTGGATCGCCCACCTCCCATGCTGATGCCAGAATATGGTCAGAGCTTGATGTTCAGCTCTCTTCTGCTTGTCCAGCTGAGAGAAGGTGACCAGCCATTCTCTATTTCTAACGTCGTTCTGCCTTTTATCCCCAATAGAGGCTTCCACAATTAGCACCTTAATTTTACCATTTTATTCCCTAACTGTATGACACAATTTCACCCTTTGTTATCATAAAAGTATGCTCCCACTCCAAATTATTACACTGCTATTCAAGTATTCACTAATAAATCAAGTATTCACAATACAGTGGCAAAGATGCACAGGTTTGTTTGGGAGCCTCGCGGAACATACTTCCTAAATGGACTGGAAGTTGTCGAGCAGTCGACATAAGGTCCTGGCCAGATAGAAAAAGTAAAACTAATGGAGCTGATGAAATGACTGAAGAGAACAGAAGGAAGGGGACACGCGTGTGTGGAAGGGGAAAGGTGTGGGGCAATTACAATTTTAAAGTCAGAAATCACCTTCTACTTTTTAAAAAGGCATACAGTATCTACTTACAATTTGTTTCAAATGACCTCTTTTTAGTTTCCTGACAAGTAGCCTGGGTGGTAAGGGGAAAAGGTGTGGGGACAGGAGTCAGGAGGCCAGGGATCACCACTGGCTGTGGTCTTGGGGACAGTGTCTCAGTTTCCTCATCTGTAAAAATGGGCATTAAAAATGTCTATTCTTTGCTGTGGCTGGGGGTTAAAGGATGAAGGTGTTTTGTAAACACTAAAGTGACGCAGAGGGCAAAATGTGTTGCAAAGGGCTCCATAAGCAGACACATTTTTAGTACCTTTTATCTCTGTACACTCAGCAACTAGGATAGACTGAATGCATGATAACAAATAATTTAAAGGGGAATGGGGAATATGCAAATATGTTTTTTTGCCAATGCACTTCCAAATCTTTTGAATGTAAGAGAATGCATTTCTTCCCTGCTAAAGAAAACCCAAAACATGAATAAAATATGACCAGTTTACTGGAAATGCAGTCGGAGAATGCATCAAACTCAGAATGTAGAAAAGCTCTAGGAGACAAATGATATGTTTTTTTCAAGTGTGACAACTGTACTGTGGTTGTGTGTTTTACAGAAAGTCTTTTTCTTTTCTTGAGTGAGAGAGAGAGAGGGAGAGAGAGAGAGAGAAAGAGAGAGAGAGAGAGAGAGAGAGAGACAGAGACAGAACATGAGTGCACACCGGCAGGGAAAGGGCAGAGGGAGAAGGAGAGAATCCCAAGCAGGCTCCATGCCCAGTGTGAGATCATGACCTGAACCAAAATCCAGAGTTGGACATTCAACCGACTGAGCCACCCAGACGCCCCAGAAAGTCTTTTTCTGGTGGAGATCCACACGGAAGTGTTTATGGATGAGATGCTAAAGTATCTTGTGATGTGCTTTCATATAGTCCAGTGGGGGTGGTGGTGGACGAAGTGGGTGGGGATATAGATGAAACAGTACTGGGCATCTGCTGATTGGGGTTGAAACCAAAAGACAGGAAGTTAGGGATTCATCTTACTTGTTTCTATTTTTGTGTATGCTTGAAAATGTCCATAATAAAAACAACACCCCTCAAAATAAAGAAGTTGAGGTAGACACATATAACGAAATTGGAAAACTAAGATCTAAGTGGAAAAAAACACAAGCCATGTAGAGCATCAGCCCATGGATACTTAAAAATGCCCAAACCACTGTATCGCTCTATACTTGCACATGTACAGGAAAAAGATCTGCAAAAAACATATACCCAGCTTCCAACAGTAGTGTTGTCTGGGGAGAAGAAAGACGCTGGGGGTGAGGATGGGTAGCAGGGAAACACTTTCACTTTTGGATTCTTCTGTATGCTTTAACTTTTAAAACTGAGCATATACTCATGTTGCTTGTGATTCAAGTAAAATTAAACACACCACGCCCACTCACTTCGCAATGGCCTCATCCCGGTCCCTGATGGCCTTCTGAAGCTGCTCCTTTGGTTCCTTGTCCTCAGACGTCACTCTGAGTCGGTCTCTCTCCTCCTTCAGTGCAGTCATCTCCACACTCAGCAGTGTCACCTAACAGGAGACCAAAGGGATGGATGTGGTGACATCATTGCTGCTGGCCTGGCCTGCAGTGTTTCCCTCAAAGAGACAGAAAGGAACAAGAAGCCCCAGGCAGGTGCAGAGCCTGTGTGCGGTGTGGGCATGTAGCTTCCACGGCCCCTGGCTCTGAGAGAGGCCCATCTCTTCTGGAGAAAGCATGCTGCATGCTAGGCTGGAGCCCACTGGCCAGGGCCAGGTGGGGTGGGGGGGCGTGGGGGATGAAATTCAGCCCTGGAAGGCAGTCAGCATGCCAGATCCCTTTATAGGCAGCCCACCACACACCGCCACTTCCACCACAAGGCACTCCCAGGGAACTAATGAAGACCACACATGCATCGGGGCTTGGAAACAAATTTTTGGGGGTAGGGAATCAAGTTTTGTTTCCAGCCATCTTGCACTCAACATGAAACTTTGCTATCCACAGGGCCCCGGCTGGACCCGAAGTCTGGGCCCTGGCACCCATTTCTGTGATAGCACTTGCGGCAGCCTGATCATTCAACTTCCCCGGGTCAAAGCCACATGGAATTTAGACACCTATGTGATGTCATCATCTTTCACTTTAAACCTGCTACCTTTTCTGTGGTCTATGCCTCAGTGAATGGCCCCACAGCCTATTCATTGGGAGTCATCTTTCGGTGGCACCGTGCCCTTCCTAGCGGCTCGCTCAGTGACCACAGCTTACCCTACCCACGAGAGCTCTGCAGTAGCAGGAAGCACGGCCTATTCATCTGTGCATCTCAGAGCCTGTGTTCAATGCTTGATCCCAAACTGCTTGTGCAGTGGACAGTTGTCATATTTTTGGCTAGTCATCATCCTAAATCCTTTCCTATCTGGGGGACATTCCTGGCTGCATGAGTCTTGGTGGAAGACAGGGGATACACCCCCCACTGAGGAAGCCAAAAGAGGAGAGACACATCATTTCCTAGGTACACAGGCATGGATATGTGTGTGACCTAGACCTGCCAATCACACAGCCCACCTGGGACTGTAGTCCTTGAGGTGTCAGCAAAGCCACAGGCCAGGGGTAAAATTATTACATGGACAGCAGATTCCTTCTGTGGCCTCGCTTCCCATGGCTTCTTCCTGTTTTGGAGCTCAGTTCCCCAGCCTTCCTGTCAAGTCTATAAGCTATCAGACCTAATTCCAATATAGTCTCTCCCTCTCTCTCTGCTTAAGTTAAGCAGAGCGAGTTTTTGTTGTTTGCAACTGGACACCCTGCTTGGCAGAACTCTCAGTAAATACTTGTTGAATGAATGGAAGGGTGAGCCCCTTCTTCCCAGTCAATAAGCTCAGACTGGAGTCAGGATGACTGGCCCCGCCCTCTTGTTACATATTGCACGTACTTGGACATTTTTTGAAGGGAGGATCCATGTATACAGCTCTAGCCCTCTCACAAGGGGACAGATGCTACCATTTCAATGTACTCCCCTACTCCAGTCCCAGGCCTAATCATCTTCAGACAGACTGAAATTGAGCAAAGGCCCCAGGATCAAACTTCCCTGGAGATGCTTCGGACTCCCTAGACTGAGACGGCAGATTTGCCAGCTACCAGGGAAGAGGAAATCAGCTACTCAGGAAGAAATCAGAGGATACTCAACAGTGAAGAGGCATACCAGACAGTCCGCTGTTACTGTGGGCAATGGATTTGGCACTCTTAGGTGCCTGATGAGGAACATCAGGACCAGGTGCTCTGTGCTTTCATGGTGGGGACAGTTGTGGTGAGCAGGGCTAGAAGCCCTAGGGAAGAACAGGCTGGGGCACCTGCAGAGGCCATAGGGTGCAGCTAGTCCACAGGATGCTGGTCAGAAACCCAGCCTCACCCTACATACTAGCAGGTTCTGCAGCCTGGTAGGCCAGGAACTCAAGACTCGGGAAGTACCTGGCAGAGAGAGAGTCAGACCTCCTCAGACCAAATAAACCCTAACATGGCCTTGGGTTGGCTGTGGGCCAGACAAGCTGAGTAAGCTACAGATAAAACTACATGCTAGGCAGGAAATGCCAACATTTAATATGCTCCAGATAAAACTCCACAAGAGCTTTTTGCTTTGGTCTGGAAAACTTGGTCAAGGTAGGACCATCAGCTATCTGCCTCAGAAACAACAAGGGACTTACCTTCTTTGAGCTGCCCACACTGTTCATAAAAAGCAGGAGTAAAAATAAGTAGTTCCATCATCAAGTTGTTGTGAGGATCAAATGAGATTAATGACATCAGGGACCAAGCTTGGTGCCTGGCGGTAAGCTCTCCTCCTTCCTCTTCTCTGCACCAGTGCGAACCTCCTCGCTGATGGTCGTCATGAGGACTAACCTGGCTTGTTTATACACTGACTTAGGTTATAGCCACCCCTAAATCCACTTTTCCCACATAAGGTAGTGTCCTCACGACTGAACAGGATCAAGGAAAACATCTTGAAGTCATACATCTAGGGCTTTATTTGCCCCTTCATTCAATAATTATTTGCTTTAGGAAAAGACAAAGAGAAGTCGGACCTCAAGCTTGTCCTCGTGGGGGTCTAAGGTTTGACTGGGAAAATGGGCTGTTGAATGAGAGAACCATGAGAAAGCAGGGCCGGGGGCTCCAGGAGGGAGGGAACCAAAGGAGTTTGAAGGAGGAAGTGAGGCCTGAAGGCTGAGTAGGGCTGATATGTACAGGTGGCAGGGAGAATCTTCTGGACAGAGGCAAAGGGCCGGGGAAAAGGCCCAGATGTGGGGAAGGCACAGGGAGTGTGTGCCATGCCCTATCATAGCCCATGTTCAATTCTGCTAAAACAAAGGAGGGGAGATGGAAACAACAGGAAAAGAGGCTAAATGGCCAGAATGCAGCCAGACTGTGGGGGGCCACGAGGGTTAGAGGCTTCCCACTACTTAATGATAGGAAGTCAATCCAAAACTTGTAAGGGTATTTCATTTCAAGCCGTGCTTCAGGAAGATCAATCCAAATCCTGTGGAGGTTAAGTGGGCTGGGGGAAATATGACCAAAGCTGGGGTGTGAAAGAGTGAAGGTCTGAAACAGGGCAGTGGCTAGAAAGATGGAGGAGAGAGAACACAGGGAGATTTCACAGAGGAGGGGTCACCAAGATTTCATTAGCGAAGGCCTTGTGTTCCCACTACATGCTCCACTGTGCTTTCATGCCCCTTCTGGACTAACTGGCCAGCGCTCCTGTCAGGCCCTATAAAGGAGCCAAACACAGGACTGGGACTGTTTCTTATTGCACCTCCCACAGCCTGGTTTACTGGCTTGAGAATGGGCAGAGGGGCTCCACAGATAACTGATTTTTATATTGCTCTGAAGGTCCTCCCTGCCTCTCAGCAGCCGTCCAGACCCCAGTCAGCCCTGGTGAAACAGGGGCCAGCAAAGCCGTGGGGAAGGGGGTGAGGGTGGGGAAGGGGCTCTCCACGGCACAAGGGTGTGGGGCAGTCTGGTTATGGATTCTGGTCTCAAACACAATTATGAATTAAATGAAACCTGGACTCCCTTTTAAAAATTGGATAGGCTTCTGAGGGTCAGATCACTTCATCTTCTAGGTCCCACATTTTTTACCTCTGGCCCAGTCTCCAGGAGGAAAAAGCATACTCTCTGGTAGGAATGCAGTGGGCTGGGAGACTGGATCAGTCCCTGGCTGAGGTCTCACCCTAGTCTAGGAGCTGCCTGCTGGAATTTTGGTTTTGCATTACCTTGTTGGGACTCTGCCTCCACGCCCCCCTCCCACCCCCCTCATCCCCCCCACTCCCCCTCCCCCCCCCACGGCAGGGTACAGAGCTGGTCTGACTCTTCTCACAATTCCAGGAGAGGCCGCGGAGCGCAGGAGCGCTGTCCTGTTCATTCTGTGTTTGTCAGGGTCTAGTGCAGCAGCGGCACACGGTCCGTGCTCGGTAGCTGCCCCACCAACTGCATGAGGAATGTTGTGCCCGCTGTGCTGGCTACCATTTCTACTGGCATTCTGGAATCCAGTCTGCATCCCGCCCACTGCCTCGGGAGGTCAGTGTTGCTTCCATGGGATGGCTTTGGAAGGGTGTGGTTTGGCTAAGAGATCTGCTGCTTTGACTAAGCTTCTGGGGAGAGATGAGCCATTCAAGAGGCCCAATTCTAACCCCATGGGACTGAGTGTAACTATCTGCTTGATGGGTTATCTGGCATAAACCACTTATCAGCTGAACTTTTAAGGAAGATTCCCTGGTGGAGGAGATAAGTTCGGAAATAGTTGCATCCAGACCCTCAGCAACTTGAACCTTGCTTATGCTTCTGAATAATGCCTTCTGCTGTTTCTGGTTTTGTAATTCTGAGAAGCAACAAAACAAAAAAAACCCAGGCAATATCAAAGAGCTGATAAGCAGAACACCCCCACAGAAATTTAAATAGGCTTTAAAGTAAACAAAACTTTTATTAACCCTAAGAGTTTTCAGATCCACTTTGTCCTGTTTGTATTGTTACAGTGTGAAGACCTGCCCTAGGTCTGAACTCCTCCCTGGCCAAACGACTGCCCGAGGGACTCAGGTTTTAGGCATGAGAATGTCTTTGGCGGCTCAATCCCATTCTTTAGGGCTTGGCCAGAAATGAGCTACCATTTTCATAGCATCTTTCTGTCTTCGCTACCTGGTCACTCCCAGAAAGAAGAGTACACCAATAGCTGCAGGTGGGGCTCCCAACATCTTCGAAGAGATTTATATTAGGAAATCTAATGGGCATGACCCCCCAAAAGAGTTTATTTCTATAGGGTCCTTTACACTTAAGAACTATGGACTGAAACAAACGCCAGGTTTACCTTCCATCTCTCAGCAACAGGTGCAGCAGGAAGGGACCACCAGCTTTGGACAAGGGAGGAAGGGGGCAGGCTGGGTGGGGGCAGGGTTTAAAATGCTACCTGTTTGGTGGGCCCCCCCCCCCCCCCCCCAGTGGGACAGCACACTACACTTAACCCTGTCAAAAGGAAGGGCCTTATTTATCTCCTAGGATAGAATTTAGAAGCTCCTTTCTGGGTGGGGCTGCTCCTAAGCCTTTTAAAACTTTTCAGATTGGAATACAGATGCCCTTCTCCAGGATTCTCAAGAGATAAAGTCATGATCAAACAGGAAAGGAACAGCAAGGGCAGCAGTAAGTGCTTCTAAAGCTGAAAAACAGGCTGGCGGAGGTGATGGCATTACAAAGAGAGAACAGGCCTGCAAAGATCAATTGCTCCTTGGTTTGCAAACTTCCCTGCTCAGAAGCTGCTGGAAAAACATCCGTGAATGTCCTGAGAGCTGTGGCACTTTAAACTGTCAGAATCCACCAGATAATATGGGCTCTGTGGAAGGCAGCATGTCGCCGGAGGAAACGGAGGGTCAGCTATTCTTATCCCTAACAATTTTACTTTGGCCTAAACCAGAGGGCCGCGCTCTTCTCTTGAGCTCACCTCAACTTCAGGTCACTGTCCTCTGAGAATCTGAGAGCAGAGCCACTTCTGAGACGTGAGAGAGGGAAACTCACGAGGGTCTCAAGAGAGTTGTGGGGGAGGGGTCACCGGTACATTCCCTGCACTGGACCGAGGATGGGGGTGCTCACCTGACTGTGGAGTTGCTGCAGCTCCTCTAGGCTTTGCCTCAGTTTACCCCTCTCTCCC